TCCTGAGTACACAGAGAAAACACAATGACCTGCGGCCAGTACCTGGTGACAGTCTCACGTAGGCCTTGAACCTGTGATCACTTAATGGTAGAGGGCTAGTGATGGTAGACACACCACTGAATTATACCAAACAACATCAGATCTAACCAAAAACATCGCTGAATTATACCAATCAACATCAGATCTAACCAATAACATCTCTGAATTATACTAAACAGCATCAGATCTAACCAAAAACATCTCTTAATTATACCAAACAACACCAGATCTAACCAATCACGTCGCTGAATTATACTAAACAGCATCAGATCTAGCCAATCACATCGCTGAATTATACCAAACAACATCAGATCTAACCAATCACATCGCTGAAGTATACAAAACAATATCACATCTAACTAATCACATCGCCAATCAACATCAGATCCAAAGATCAGATCTAACCAATCACGTCGCTGAATTATACTAAACAGCATCAGATCTAACCAATCACATCGCTATTTTGTACCCAACCACATCAGATCTGAACAACTTCAGATCTAACCAATCACATCGCTGAATTATACCAAACAGCATCAGATCTAACCAATCACGTCGCTGAATTATGCCAAACAGCATCAGATCTAACTAATCACATCGCTGAATTATACCAAACAGCATCAGATCTAACCAATCACATCGCTGAATTATACCAAACAGCATCAGATCTAACCAATCACATCGCTATTTTGTACCCAACCACATCAGATCTGAACAACTTCAGATCTAACCAATCACATCGCTGAATTATACCAAACAACCTCAGATCTAATCAATCACATCGCTGAATTATACCAAACAACACCAATCACATCGCTGAATTATACCAAACAACATCACATCCAAACCATCATATGTGCTTTGCAAAAGTATATTAATCACAGTTCTTTCACAGAATAAGCTCAAGTCGCTATCACAAAATTATTACAAAATTTACTATATTTATCACAAATTAAGTTATTTATAATTTAAGAATGTAATATTTGCAATTTTACATACTAAGGAAAGGGGAAAAAGTTTCAAAGAAATACGCTGTAAACACACATATATAAATTGACACCTGGATACAGAGTGACAAATTGTCAATATATCATGAATGTATATGGTATAATGTGTAATAAACATGTAAAATGTTTACTTCACATATACACAGAATAATTATTGTATACATTGTATAATAAATATATACAATGTATCACAAAAATATACAATGTATTACAACATATACCATGAACAATGATTATATACAATGTATAATAAACATACAATGTATCACAAACATATACCATGAATAATGATTGTATACAATGTTTAATAAACATACAATGTATCACAAACATATACCAAGAATAATGATTGTATACAATGTATAATAAACATACAATGTATCACAAACATATACCATGAATAATAATTGTATACAATGTATAATAAACATACAATGTATCACAACATATACCATGAATAATGATTGTATACAATGTATAATAAATATATACAATGTATAATAAATATATACAATGTATTACAAACATATACAATGTATCACAAACATATACAATTTATAATAATAGTATACACAATGTATGATAATCATAAACAATGTATAAGAATTGTATACACTGAATAATAAACATACAATGTATAATAAACATATGCCATGTATCTTACAATGTATTATACGTTTATATCCACTAAAAACTGATAGAACAAAAGATTATTCCTTTATTAAAACACACACAGTAATATAAATACCAATAAAAAAAATGATTATTTCTTACTAAACACACACAGTAATATATACAAATAGAACAAAATAGTATTTCTTACTAAACACACACAGTAATATATATACCAAAAAATACTGAAACATTATTTCTTACTAAACACACACAGTAATATATAAACCGAATATTGAGATTAACTTGTACATGTATAATGAATATATAAGAGATCAATGGAACATGTAACAAGCACAAAATATAGCTAATACTACCAAAAGGTGATTTAAAAATCTTAGATCTGGTTAAACAATTTAAAAATACAAAGTTAAAACAAGAGAAAAAAGCTGCAAAACATAGTATTTGGTCTCATATTTGTGGATGAAAGTGACAGATATGGCAAGGTTTCGATACATCATCACACCTCCTCCTGGAATCTGATTTGTTTTTATACAGACCTATTACCAAACGGTCATACTGATAAAATTAATCCATTTTCTAGCTTGCCATATGAACTTTCTTGGAGAACTTGAGAGCATCCATTTTCAATAACTCCTGTTGAGTCAAGGAATACTGAAACATGTGGAGGTAAAGTGTTTTAAACTGTAACCATACTGATCTGAGCTACACTGAAATAAATGGAAGAAGACACTGCCTGCCCTGAGGCACGGATGCATTATCAACTTATTCACAGTATATACGACTGGTGTAGGGCTCCTCCTCCAACTACTGTTTGTTTTTTTGAATAGTTTTACGTTCACTTCACTACCGGGTAGTTCAGTTATCCAGCAGACGACGCCCCTCCCACTCAGTGTCTGAGCAGTTATATCAAGGTATCCGTCCACAGCATCAAGTGTAACATTCTCAATGACTACAACTGACACGTGAAACGAGTGACCCAGGAACATAACATACCAGAGACAGTTGTCTGAAGACGATAGGAGAAACAATGAGATTGCTGAGTATAAAATACAATATACTCTAAGGCAACCACGTAATCTCCACCCTCAACAAAATGAGATTATCATTAACTAACATGCAGATAACAACAAACCAATTAATTGTTATTATTCTATTAAATAAGGATCTTTCATTTGTGTTCAATTTTGTCAATAACTTATCAGCATAAACATCTGAATTTGCTAAAAAGGCATACTGGTTGGAAACATTTGGCTACAATTCCTACTATGGAATTCTTGTGAAGCAAATGTCAAATTCCTTGTTGAGGAATTGTTTTCAAACTAATCTTAAATAACTTCTCTTGAGGAAATAACAACAAATATTTTGATGTTTTCCAATGATTGAATGCCACAATAAGTTAACACTCGCATAACCATAAATCAAACACCACATTCACTATTAAACAAAACACCCACTTGCCATCACACACACCACTGAACTTTCAACAAATCCACTAAACTTTCAACAAATCCACTAAACTATCAAAGAAACACTCACTTATCCATTAAACAAATGCTCAATTGACCATTAATCAAACACTCAATTGACCATTAAACAAACACTCAATTGACCATTAAACAAACACTCAATTGACCATTGAACAAACACTCAATCCACAATTAAACAAACACTCAATTCACCATTAAACAAACACTCAATCCACCATTAAACAGAACTCAATCCACCATTAAACAAACACCCAATTCACCATTAAACTAAAACACTCAATTCACCAATAAACAACTTTCAGGAGAAGACTAATACAGGCACTGCCTGTTGTCTAATCCTTTTGTAAATACAATAAAAACAAGAGGCCCATGGGCCTTAATGGTCACCTGAGTCTACAGTATTTATTTTTGTTGTTGAAATATGTACCAATTTGAGTAAAAAATAGTATAATGTTAACTTAACTTTGTCAGGACCATGAGCTGATCATTCCTATACCAATTTTAAGCGAGATCGGCCTATTAGAACTTAGTAGCAAAATAGCGGCCATGGCAGCCAAATTGTATTTCTGATTGACCCGAAAAATAACAACACTTTGTCAGGACCATGAGGCGATCATTCCTACCAACTTTCAGTTCAATCGGTCCAGCAGAACTTGACTTTAAGCTTGAAATAGGTTTTCAAAATGGCGGCCGTGGCGGCCATATTGGATTTCTGATTGACCTGAAAAATAACAACACTTTGTCAGGACCATGTTCGATCATTCCTACAAAGTTTCAGTTCAATCGGCCAAGTAGAACTTAACTTTAAGTTTGAAATAGTTTTTCAAAATGGCAGTCGTGGTGGCCATATTGGATTTCTGATCGACCCGAAAGTTAACAACACTTTGTCAGGACCATGAGCTGATCATTCCTATACCAATTTTAAGCGAGATCGGCCTATTAGAACTTAGTAGCAAAATAGCGGCCATGGCAGCCAAATTGTATTTCTGATTGACCCGAAAAATAACAACACTTTGTCAGGACCATGAGGCGATCATTCCTACCAACTTTCAGTTCAATCGGTCCAGCAGAACTTGACTTTAAGCTTGAAATAGGTTTTCAAAATGGCGGCCGTGGCGGCCATATTGGATTTCTGATCGACCCGAAAGTTAACAACACTTTGTCAGGACCATGAGCTGATCATTCCTATACCAATTTTAAGTGAGATCGGCCTATTAGAACTTAGTAGCAAAATAGCGGCCATGGCAGCCAAATTGTATTTCTGATTGACCCGAAAAATAACAACACTTTGTCAGGACCATGTTCGATCATTCCTACAAAGTTTCAGTTCAATCGGCCAAGTAGAACTTAACTTTAAGTTTGAAATAGTTTTTCAAAATGGCAGTCGTGGTGGCCATATTGGATTTCTGATCGACCCGAAAATAACAAGACTTTGTCAGGACCATGAGTCGATCATTCCTACAAACTTTAAGTTCAATCGGTCCAGCAGAACTTGACTTTAAGCTTGAAATAGGTTTTCAAAATGGCGGCCGTGGCGGCCATATTGGATTTCTGATCGACCCGAAAGTTAACAACACTTTGTCAGGACCATGAGCTGATCATTCCTACAAACTTTCAGTTCAATTGGCCTAGCAGAACTTGACTTTAAGTTTAAAATAGGTTTTCAAAATGGCGGCCGTGGCGGCCATATTGGATTTCTGATCGACCCGAAAATAACAAGACTTTGTCAGGACCATGAGTCGATCATTCCTACAAACTTTAAGTTCAATCGGTCCAGCAGAACTTGACTTTAAGTTTGAAATGTAAAATGTTAACGGACGACGGACGACGGACGACGGACGACGATGGACGAAAACGGATAGCAATAGGTCACTTGAGCTAAAGCTCAGGTGACCTAAAAATGTTGAAACCAACCCATTAAACTAACACTCAATTCACCATTTTCTCGTTTTTTACTTTCCTCTTATCTAGTAGACAACTAAGAGTCTAAAGAATGCTGAGGAGGAGGGGAGGGGGAGGAGCCTAACACCAGAGTATATGTGTGTATTATGTATATGTATGTAATACTCTACTCACAATACATCTGTATATATCATCAATAAGTGTGCAGTCCTACATTTACTGATTCATCCTCAATAAACAACAATATCATATGACACAATAGAAAAATATCCGCTTTACATGACTTTGTACTATAGCCGAATTTGTATTTAGTTTGAAAGGCTCATTTCTGTTTGGGTCACTATCTGTAGGCAGGTTTGGTCAAGTCCACTATTGTGAAAGTGGCTTTGGTCACACCAAGTCTCTGTGTTCAGCTCTGTCATCCCACTTAGTAGATGTGTACACAGATTTGGCCAGGCCCACCTTGTAAAATAAGACTTGTATTGGCACTATCATCATCTACAGCATCTCCTGGGGACTATGTTTCCCTTCTTCATGACATGTCTCAAGAAATTTCCTGAAATTAAATACAGAAATATAAAAATTTGTTTGGACAAAACAATTTTAAAAAATGGAAGCAAATATAATAACCAAACTTGTAAAAGTGATGACTCTTTTCAAACAAATGAGTTGTTTGTTACTCAGCAACTTAGGACAAGATTGCAACATGTTGCCAATATCCCCACCGCCAAACTATAAACTTTATTCATAACAAGAAGCCCAGAGGGCCTGTATCGCTCACCTGTTTCTTTTGTTACATGCAACTGACATATAGGTAACTTAAGACCAAATTTGTTAACAAGAACACAAGACATTCTAACATCTCTTAAACGGTTCTGAAGATATTGTTGTTTGAAACTTGAAATTTAAATTTTTAAGCTTTTAACCCATATTGACCTTTGACTCCCGACTTGTACTTAAAGTTGACCTTTGACCTTATTACTGTAATAAGAAAACAATTCATACAGCTGATCTACATAACGTACCTAAGTATCATGACTCTAGTCCAAATGGTTCTTAGGATATTGTTGTTTGAAGTTTTTAACATATTTGACCCCTGTAACCTTGAAAGTAGGTCAAGGTAATTTTAATGTGGAAACATAATAGCACTACATCCCAGGTACCTACTAGCCAACTATCATGACCCTGAGTCTTATGGAATTTGAGAAGAAGATTGTTAAAGCCTTTGACCCATGTTGACCTTTGACCCCAACTTGCAGTTAAAGTTGACCTTTAACCTCATTACTGTTATAGAAAAAGATTTGCACTGCTGGTCTACATAACATACCCAAGTATCATGACTCTAGTCCAAATGATTCTTCGGATATTGTTGTTTGAAGTTTTTAACAAATTTGACCCCAGTGACCTTGAACGTAGGTCAAGGTCCTTTTAATGAGGAAACTTAATAGCACTCCATCCCAGGTACCTACTGAGCAAATATCATGACCCTGGGCCTAATGAAACTTGAGGAGAAGATTGTTAAAGCTTTTAACAAAAGTTGACATTTGACCCCCGACTAGCATTTAAAGTTGACCTTTGATCTCATAACCGTATCTGAGAAAAATATTCAAACTGCTGGTCTACATAACATACCCAAGTATCATGACTCTAGTTCAAATGGTTCTTAGGATATTGTTGTTTGAAATATTTAACATATTTGACCCCTGTGACCTTGAAAGTAGGTCAAGGTCATTTGAATAAGGAAACTTTATAGCACTACATCCCAGGTACCTACTGGCCAACTATCATGACTCTAGGTCCTACAGTTCTTTAGAAGAAGTCGTTCACAAGAAAAAGTTGACGGACGGACACAGGACAACGGACACCGGATGCCGGACGATGCAGTATCGCATAAGCTCACCTGGCCCTTTGGGTGAGCTAAAGACAAGCAGGAACTTTGGTTATAACCCTCGTCCGAAATGATGAAATAGGACAAGACTTAATAATAGACCTAAATTGATGAAATGCGAACAGTTCTATCACTAAATATATCTTGTTTGGCAGTGTCACAGTTTTGTAAACAGCTCAAACAGAAGAGCTCAGGTGAAATTTTGTGGCCAGGTTTCACCAGCCATTATAACATGTTGAGACTACCTGATAATCAATGGCAGTTCTGGGGCCATGCAGATGAGCTTGTGTCCATATCCATAGCTGGCATTGAATGAGACGAACTCCAGGGGGCCACTGTTTGTAGGTCGGGTCTCTGAAGCAATGCTATACAGCTGAAAACAGGGAGATGGATATTTTCATACATTTTTATTTATCTACCCGGTATGCATAGCAACTTTCTTTCTAACTCATTTTTCATTTTCCATCAAATTGTAAGTGAACTTCATAAAGATATTTATATCCTAAGCAAAGTATTATACTGGCACTTCAGAAGTAAAATAAATATCTGGAAAGTAAATTATGTGGAGTGAAAATTAATGATGTAACAGCATGTTACATATTAAAGTTTGACAGGAGGCACCTTAACAGTTTAGGGTAAGGTTTGTCAGTAAGCACCTTAACAGTTTAGTGTAAGGTTTGTCAGTAAGGACCTTAACAGTTTAGGGTAATGTTCGTCAGTAAACACCTTAACATTTAAGGGTAAGGTTAACAGTTTAGGGTAAGGTTCGTCAGTAAACACCTTCACAGTTTAGGGTAAGGTTTGTCAGTAAACACCTTAACAGTCTAGGGTAACGTTTGTCAGTAAACACCTAAACAGTTTAGGGTAAGGTTTGTCAGTAAGCCCCTTAACAGTTTAGGGTAAGGTTTGTCAGTAAGCCCCTTAACAGTTTAGGGTAAGGTTCGTCAGTAAGCCCCTTAACAGTTTAGGGTAAGGTTTGTCACTAAGCACCTAAACAGTTTAGGGCAAGGTTTGTCAGTAAGCAACTTAACAGTTTAGGGTAAGGTTCGTCAGTAAACACCTTACCAGTTTAGGGTAAGGTTTGTCAGTAAACACCTAAACAGTTTAGGGTAAGGTTCGTCAGTAAACACCTTCACAGTTTAGGGTAAGGTTCGTCAGTAAACCCCTTAACAGTTTAGGGTAAGGTTTGTCAGTAAACACTTTAACATTTTAGGGTAAGGTTCGTCAGTAAGCACCTGAACAGTTTAGGGTAAGGTTTGTCAGTAAACACCTAAACAGTTTAGGGTAAGGTTTGTCAGTAAGAACCTTAACAGTTTAGGGTAAGGTTTGTCACTAAGCACCTAAACAGTTTAGGGCAAGGTTTGTCAGTAAGCACCTTAACAGTTTAGGGTAATGTTCGTCAGTAAACACCTTAACATTTAAGGGTAAGGTTAACAGTTTAGGGTAAGGTTCGTCAGTAAGCCCCTTAACAGTTTAGGGTAAGGTTCGTCAGTAAGCCCCTTAACAGTTTAGGGTAAGGTTTGTCACTAAGCACCTAAACAGTTTAGGGCAAGGTTTGTCAGTAAGCACCTTAACAGTTTAGTGTAAGGTTCGTCAGTAAGCACCTTAACAGTTTAGGGTAAGGTTTGTCAGTAAACACCTTAACAGTTTAGGGTAACGTTTGTCAGTAAACACCTAAACAGTTTAGGGTAAGGTTCGTCAGTAAACACCTTAACATTTAAGGGTAAGGTTCGTCAGTAAACATGTATCGATTGGCAGTAAATACTTATAGAGCACTCTACATTTAGACCTTGGACATCTGACCACACACAAGAAGTTCTTTCTCAGCAACAAAGATCTAGTGCCATAACATGCCTACCTTTTTACCCAACTCAAATGGCACCACTTTATCATCTTCTGCATGTAATATCAGGAGAGGTGTTGTCACATGGGCAATACTGGAATCATGAAACAAAATTTGTCTACATTGTAATGAACATCTGTTGTCTGGTTTGTAATGATGGATTATAAAAGTTTATGACAAACACTTAACACACTGCTTACCTACTGATGACTGATGATGTTCTGCTGTTTCATTAGATAACTCATCAGGCATACATAATTACCATTTTTATCACTGTTTGTGTGTATTAAGATACATGCCTTAATTGCTATCACTTTCATTGGTGAAATTTTCTTGTTGGTCAGGCTTTATATAGCTACATATAAATTTCAGTTACTCATTTCTAAATGTTCCTTTCCAAAATTAACAGAAACCCCCCTTTTGTAAAATGCACGAATAAGAACATTTGTGTTATGTCCATACAGACAGGTTATTACATGTATTATACATCATTAGGTTATTATCACTCCACAGCTGACCTCGACCTTTGGTTGAATTCTAAAACTGTCCTTTATTTCAGCTGTGAAAAAAATCAGTACTAAAATTGACATATACATGATGAAGTGGATTATGTGGGCTTAATAGTTTTTCAAGTAAAAAAAAATGAATTCGGTTTGAGACTACATTTTTGGACATTTAGAAATCTGTGTCTACACAACAAAAGCAAGCTTTTTATGTAGTCTATTTTTGTACTCAGAACAAGTGTAAATATTGTGAAAAATCCATCGGAATGACCTATGCTAAAACAAGAGTATTTCTGTAACCGAGTAGGTGATATTTAATTCAAGACAGGTTTTAAGAAAAAAATACTATCCGTCACATTTTGGGTTAAAAATCAAGTTTTTTGCCATTTTATGGTGTTTTTAGGTGGTAACCAAGGTTTTTACAAGTCCCAAATCTAGGGAAATACTGCTTGAAAAAATATGTATTCAAACTGTGGGTTATAAATATATATATATATATATGTAGGTGTGTTGTGCAGGATGAATCCACTATCCATGTTTATCTGAGACACGCCCTTTATTTTTAGGATCAGGCCATTTCTACTGTACTTTGCTGTAGCCAAACATAATGATTTAAGCAGCATCGGAGTGACATCATTGCTGGAATTCTGTTGTCTCTACTCTATTATAAAAGGTTGTAATACAAACCAACAAGGCCACTCACTTTTTATCAGAGGTAAAACTGATGTTGTTCTGATCAATGGTATCAAGGAAAACTGCTTCAAACCATGGCAACATCCGGAACGGCTGAAATAAAACATATTTAATAATCATGTACAAAAGTTAGATAAACAACATGAGAGGCTCAGATTGATGTACCCCATCCCGTCTTCCACTCCTAGGGCGATGGTGTACACGACATATTCTGTAAAATGTTCTAACCTTGACCACAAAACCTAGTCAGGTGTACACCTCAATGTTAACATGATATATAGTACAGTATAAATAGGAATAAAAGGTGTTCTGGGGTTCATGAGATACCTTGTACACTACATTTTTACTACAAACAAATACACACTACTTACCGCTGTCAACGGGTGTTTTGAGTGTTGTGTCAACATCACATGTGGGGTGAAAGCCCTATATCTACGACCATGTACACTTACTGTAACATACACCTACACACTACTTACCGCTGTGAACGGGTGTTTTGAGGCTGCCTCCTTGATGTTGGTGAATGGCGATTCCAGGACCACACCCACAGGTTCCTCTCCTAGAGGACACAAAAGTTCACAATATTTTAAACTATGATATTCCAACAAATGTCAGTGTGAATACAAGACCTCCATTATTGAAGAATGAACATCAATATCTGGGACAGAGAAGGAGCAGTAAAACAGGATATAATTTTTCACTTATAAACATAAATTCCAAAAAATGACTTAATTGTGTAAGATGTTTACAGTAAGTAATGTTTACAATCCAACAACAAATTAATTTGTTTTGATAGTCCCTAGAAATAAAACACAGTCAAAATATTAAAAGGCCAAATACAACACACTGTACAATATACCGAAGAAACTATCCACACACCTTTTTCACACAGCATCTTTGCCAGTTTAGTTGTAATTCTGAAAATAGAATAAACCTTGACAGGAAAAATTCCTCGCTTGCAGGACATGTTATATCAAGTTTATATTTAGTTTGTATGTAAGAAAACATGAATTGTGGAGGCTGGCAAACTCACCTATAAGCATAACATGTCAAGAACTAAATTGCATCAAATGTAGAAATTGGACCATTTTTAGGGAAGTTATAAATGTATTAAATAGAAGCCAATTCAACAATCAAATTTAGCCTGACACTTGACAATACATATGTGCACACTAGAGGTTAAGATCAAACCATATTTACAGCAGCCATTGCATGGAAACCAAATGAAATGTGACTGTTGGACAGACAGATAGATGCACCCAAATTAATATCCCCCATTTTCTCTGAAAGCTTGTTTGTATGGGATTTATAATTCTCGCAACACATATATATATACGGCCATATAAGGATGAAAGTAAGGGATAAAATAGTTTCATTTATCAAATAGTGAATCACATATTATGTATGTCATAATCAGTCATACATGAGATCTTGTGTACGACATGACCAGTCATACATGACATATCTCACAGTGAGTCATACACGACATATATACCTCACAGTGAGTCACACATGACATAGCAAGTCATGTATCCCTCATACACAAGTCATTCATGACATACATGTTACTCATTGTGAGTCATTTATGAATTATCTCATAGCGAGTCATGCATGACAATACCTCAAAAGGAGTCATACATGATATAGCGAGTCATGTATACCTCATACACAAGTCATACATGACATACATGTTACTCATTGTGAGTCATTTATGACATATCTCATAGCGAGTCATGCATGACAATACCTCAAAAGGAGTCATACATGATATAGCGAGTCATGTATACCTCATACACAAGTCATACATGACATACATGTTACTCATTGTGAGTCATTCATGACATATCTCATAGCGAGTCATGCATGACAATACCTCAAAAGGAGTCATACATGATATAGCGAGTCATGTATACCTCATACACAAGTCATACATGACATACATGTTACTCATTGTGAGTCATTCATGAATTATCTCATAGCGAGTCATGCATGACAATACCTCAAAAGGAGTCATACATGACATAGCGAGTCATGTATACCTCATACACAAGTCATACATGACATACATGTTACTCATTGTGAGTCATTTATGAATTATCTCATAGCGAGTCATGCATGACAATACCTCAAAAGGAGTCATACATGACATAGCGAGTCATGTATACCTCATACACAAGTCATACATGACATACATGTTACTCATTGTGAGTCATTCATGAATTATCTCATAGCGAGTCATGCATGACAATACCTCAAAAGGAGTCATACATGACATAGCGAGTCATGTATACCTCATACACAAGTCATACATGACATACATGTTACTCATTGTGAGTCATTCATGACATAGCGAGTCATGTATACCTCATACACAAGTCATACATGACATACATGTTACTCATTGTGAGTCATACATGACATATCTCATAGCGAGCCATGCATGACATACCTCACAGTGAGTCATACACAACATAGCGAGTCATGTATACCTCATACACAAGTCATACATGACATACATGTTACTCATAGTGAGTCATACAAGACATATATCACACAACATAACTCATATACCATGTATTACATGCCATAACATTGAATACTAGTTGATGAATGTCATAGAAAGTACACCGCAGTACATGACCTAGGCTTTCATAGACCATTGAGATTATGTTTTGACATCATAAAATTATAATAGGGTTAAAAAGGAAGGGCATGTCAATCTGATATGTATTTTGACACTCCAAAACTTCAAGGAAAATATAATCTGGGTTCTGAAGAAGCTAAATGTCGAGAGTCAGGGGGGAGCCCTGCATTACAAATCATAATTGAGTACTATAGGACATACCAGGTACGACATATCTAGTTGGAGACATACCAGGTACGACATATCTAGTTGGAGACATACCAGGTACGACATATCTAGTTGGAGACATTCCAGGTACGACATATTTAGTTGGAGACATACCCGACATTTAGGAAAGTTCCAGCTCACCAATAATCCACAGTAGTTGTAATGTCAATGTGTGATGCAGTAACATTGTTTTGAGTTACTTACGCAGTACCGAGGGAGTGACCCCAGAGGAATACTGGTGCATTACCACTCCTCTGTTTGATCCACTTGTATATAAAGTAGCTATCTGCCACCACTCCATCCTCTGTCGGCTCCCCAACAGAGTCCGCCCAGCCTAAAACATTAAACAAAACAGTAGTAAATATTGTGTAAAGCCTGTAGCCCCATACAAATCAGTCCTCAACCAAGTCTATCATGTTTGTGTTGTCGATCCAGTAGAATGTTATTTTTGCACTCACCTCTGTAATCAAAGGCTATCACGTGGAATTCCAGGGAAACCAGAAGTTTGTACAGCTGTACTCTGTGCCAGCCAGCTCTGGAAATTAAATCACTCACTTGTATAATAACTCATTATGTCCACAGCAATAATTCTGAAAATGGAGATCTGAAAGATCATGCAAATAGCAATAATTCTGAAAATGGAGATCTGAAAGATCATGTAACTAACAATAATTCTGAAAATGGAGAACTGAAAGATCGTGTAACTAACAATAATTCTAAAAATGGAGATCTGAAAGATCGTGTAACTAACAATAATTCTGAAAATGGATATCTGAAAGATCATGTAACTAACAATAATTCTGAAAATGGAGATCTGAAAGATCATGCAACTAACAATAATTCTGAAAATGCAGATCTGAAAGATCATGTAACTAACAATAATTCTGAAAATGCAGATCTGAAAGATCATGCAACTAGCAATAATTTTGCCAAAGTCCATAGAATATTACTCATCAATTTTTGCGTGCTCCTATCTGGTGTGTCACTGAGAAAAATATTGATTCTGATGCCATGTCCACGTGTCACTGAGATAAATATTGATTCTGATGCCATGTCCACGTGTCACTGAGATAAATATTGATTCTGATGCCATGTCCACTTTTAAAGATTATGTACACAACAAACAATCTATGGAATTTGTTAAAAGGTGTGTTTCCCTTTGGGTACTGTTATAATGTTGCCATTTGTGTTGTGGGTATATATACCCCTCCAGACAATGACAGACTTAGTGACTTACCGTGACCCTGAAGTTCCATGAAGATACAGGAAGATTGGTTTACCATCCTTCAGCAAGCTTTCATACTGATTGAATTCAACGCCAGACTCAGCTAACGACTGAGGAAGTAAATGCCTACAAATAATAACACAATTCAAAAAAGTGAAAAATCATCAATTAAGGTTGATTTCTTGTATTTAACTTTTATTTAGAATCTGAATTAAGATATCTGAGATAAATTCATGAGTTCGAAACACAATGTCACCAATCTTGAAGCAATCAAAGGTAAATAAAAGCTTTTATTAATCTTTAATAGAAGGAGGAAAATATCCTCAAAGAACCAATATTCAATACTTTCACATAGAAACCTCTTAAAAAGGTAATAAGTTAATAAATTAAAATTAGAATAGAAACTCCTGAAGCCAGGTTTCCATGAATTATATTCTACTTCCGCCAGCTAGTTTGTCTAAATGTTCTGGTCTGATAGGCAGGCTAGCGCTGTTGCCACGGCAAAACAATAACTGCATGTCTAGTTGGCTGAAACATGTTGGCAACCAGACAAAAGAATATACTTTATCGACATCACAGAAGATACCTCGTCATGTAGTCATGTCATGGAGTTTTATAATGGAATGGGAACATGTTTGATATCATTGTATCATAAACTCTATCAAAACAGTGAATATAAAGGCTGGAAAATACACCACCAGTTTTACCTTTGTGAAGTCATTGCATTGTTCTTTGTTGTGATGTCACAGTGGTTGATTTTACACACAATGAAAAGTTGTGTGATAGTGTTCTTACATCCTGAACTTTTGATAAAGTTAAACAGGTGTAATGACAGATGTAAATACAAGTTGATTAGACAATCAACATTAGTTTTAGTGATGAGAAAATACAATAATTGACAAGTGTTCAGTTTTGTTTACCATACTCCGACCCTGCTGTGTTCCTCCACCTGTAGGTAAAAGTTCCTGACAGTGTTTCCTAGTCCGAACTCTTCCGGTTTTGTGACATCTATAAATGGAGGCCATCGGACTGTGGAATAAACACAATATATTAATATCAACAAAAATGACAAGTTTTAAAGGGACAATTTGGTGAAGAAAGTTTTTTTTTCTTTTTACAAAATTCTTTATTATGTAATATAGTTTGATACACCTAATGATCAGTTATAATTAACGTCGAGAAATTGACAGACCATGTTTTCATGGTGTTATTAATCAGCAATGGAGAAATCTTTAACTGTACAACCATACATGTTAGTGGCGGCTGTCTGTGAACTTCAAACAAACATATCTTTCCAGCCAAGGAGAATAGATAAATTCTGGCTTTATTCAGCTAACTTCTTTGGAATACAAGTACCAGCATTTGTTATGAATCAATAGTTCCGTACAACATCTTACTAATCGCTATCAATCAGTAGTTTATCATACTTTGTGCTGTTTGAAATTCTCCCTAGGGTGCCCTCTTTTGTACATGCTCATATTAAACTTGTTTATTTTTATTTGAATCCAACTGTGAACACAAATATCTAATTAGATTTATATAGTATGATACCTATAATTCTTGCTTGCAATGTATTGTGTAAATTCAAAGTGGCAGGTCCAAAATCAGACTCACGGACACTGTGTTGTCTGTCGACAGCAATGTTTACTTCTCACTGAAAGGCCTGGATATTACGCTATTTCAGTTGTAGCTATATATCTATCATCGGATTTCCCAAAAGCAAAACTGACCACACTGGACGTTGGCTTCAGGTCATATGTAATTTTTGACTATGTTAACTTTCATTAGGAGGTACATATTTTCAGTATCTAATCGATTTTAAAGGTGTTATTTGACTAAATAGCCCCTTTAAAAGCTTCACTGAATAATCCCATTAGATGGTGTTTACTTAGCGTGGAGTGAACTGATAGGCTACTACATAATTATTACGGGAATCAAATTTTTGTAATGGGACAACAGTAAAAACCTTTGTGGATATCCCCTATTGATTGTACAGTGAGATAAAGCAAGTATCATACATTATATATGTTTACAAGGAAATACATGTTACCACTCACAAACAAGAAAACATGTACCATATTTACTGTGATAAACACCCAAGGCACTTATTGAGATACAAGGAAACATAGGTTATGACAGTTCCTGTGTGTCAAGGCCATATACATTTGTAACTGTCAAACACTGTACACATTCCTATAGAGAATTCCTAATAAATTATTCTTGTTCTTAATTATAAGAGAGCAAACATTTGAAAACGGGCTTGTCAGATACGAGCTGAAAGTGTCTGATATTTTGTGTATAGTAATATAGTTTGTCAATAGAGCTAGCCAGTAGAAAAGGCGGGTTGGGAAAAGGGTCATTTATATCATTTCAATTAGAGTCCAAAAAAGATGAGGAGCACCTATGGATGGAAGGGTGAATTACAGTGAATACGGTATATACTACTATTAATAAATACATAACGTACAGATCACCGCAGTATATATAATCTTAACTAAATATTAATCAATCATATTTTCTTGTTTATGGAATGAGAAATAATGGAATGAGGAAGGCTGCCATGTTAGCAAAGGGATACTCAGAAAAATCATAAATATTTAGGTAAACGGAAAAATCGTGTTTCAACTTGATATTAAAATTAACTTACCCCGGTGAATTATAAGGAGTTTTATATAAAAAATAATACACATGGTTTTGTATAGGTCTTTCTGGGACTCACTTACAGTTATTGAGGAACACAGCTTTGGACTGTATCCATGGATTTGTCAGGATAAACACTGGGGTAAGCACGTGCAAACAAAACAAAAACCCCAAGGTCACCTTCACACAAAGTAGTATCGCTCTCCACAGCCATCTGTAACATAAACAATAACACTTATATATAACATCATCAGGTTTTCTTCTCTTCTAACAAGTCAAATAAAGGATGTTCTCTTTGTCTTACATTTCATAGGTTAAGGATCCCTGCCTAAAAATGTAACCACGTATTGGCAACTGTTTTTCCAGTATGACTATATAGCTTTGATTAATCATTTTTGAGAAGAAAAGTTACTTTTCAGGACTCTTATAAAAAACAATTCAGATGAAAATGAAACACAAGTCATTCAGATTAATATGTCTTGGGTACCTGTGCCCTGCTTTGACCATCAATGCACATGTCATGTTTGGTTGGTCTAGCACTTATAGTTTCAGAGAAACTAACTTAAATGCAAAAATGTAATGTTGATGGAGATGCTGGCAACGTCAATGGACCATGAAAGGTAGGCCACATCCTGCATTTGATGCATGGGTTGAGATGTACTACCTACGATGCATCTTTGGTCCAAGTTTGGTTGGTCAAGCACTTATACCTTAAGTGAAACTAACATAAACGCAAAAACTTAATGTTGATGCCGCTGTCGCCGGAAGAGCAACACATTAGTCTCGCGTACGCTACTTCGCTGCGGCGACACAAAAACATGACCAACAGCATGCACTGTGTTCTGAGTGTAAAAAATTCAAAGGGGCAAGACCGAGATTTGAGGCATCCTGGACTTGAGCTTGCTATTACCACCTCGATCTCTAACCGATTGAGCTACATAGAATGAAAGTATCCTGGCCCAACTATGCTAGTTACATGTATATTCAAAATAAAATTAAGGGGAGGTTATATAATTACTGTATATACAAGAACACAGTGCAGTGGGACAGGGATGCTCAAGGTAATTGTTCAATACGACTGTTACCTGCAATGGCTTGTGTTTGAAAAGTGTGTTGTGGGTTGTTTTAAATGCTTGACAAGAGATATACTAGACATCCAGGTCAGGCCAGTATCTGATTGTGTCTGTTATAATTAAAGGCCAACATTTATGTTGTGTATGTTGTATGTAACCCACTTACATTTTCTGACCAATCTGTTATCATGAATTCCTGCAAAGAACACTGGAACTATTTGTTATCACTAGGACTGATCACAACTTTGAAGTACATTTTATTATGACAAACAAATAAAAATGTATGCAACTGATCTTAATTACATGTATCAGAAATATAAACATTAAATGTATTCAATAGATTAACAGCGCAGAACCTATTAAAACTTGTTATAAGTGTCCCAGTACTTTTGTAGAGCATTTATTTTTTAGACCTAGAAGTTTTAAACATGCTTACAACACTTACATTGAATAATTATCAAGATCACCTACTCAAATTTAATGCATGATTTTTTTTCATGTAACTAAGTCAGTTATTGAAATATTCAGACTATATTAAATGAGGATATAGTTTTAATCAGATTGCAGTATTATGAGTAATGTATTTAGAATCTCAAAATTGAACTATAATGTACATACATAAATTAAGGTTGTAAAGTGAACAGCATATAAAACTATTGGGAGATTTAATTGATTGACATTGCTACATATAGATATGGTATAAAGACGTCTATGTTTATATACCCTGTGGTATTATTACAACGTGAGTAGTTAGTACATGTACATATGTCTAGGACCAGCTGACTGACAGCGATGCCTATACACAGTTACACCGATCTACAGATTGTATATGCATGGCAGCCACAGGGCATATTTTGTTATCATCACATAACGAAGCTCTATTCTCACTATATGGTAGCCCGGACATATGTTAAGTTCTAGACACATTTCCTGGTTATAACGAACAAAAAAAATACGGCTAGTGTCGTTGATCACCTATATTAGATGTATAGATAGTCAATGGAGGAGAGAAATGCAAAGTTGTGTCACGGATGGATAGCTGTTCCCTACGATCAGCTAACACGGGAAGACTTATACCCAGGTAAGGCTTGTCCAGATCCCTTGACCGTATCAGTGTTCAACACCGGTACCTCCTCTTCTTTCTGTGGTGTCGTTTGTGCTTTCACAGGGGTTGATTTCCTCTGTCGTGTGTTTGACATTTTGTTTATATATATACACAAAGCCGATTCCGTACTTCGACCTCATCAAGTAAAGCAGGTAACTGAAGCTTCATTACGAGCTTTCTGATTGGTCGACACCCTTGTAAACCAATCACCTGCTGCGTTATAAACACTGTCGGAAATTGTAAACAATGATACACGTGCTCGTGTTTGTCAATAAGTTTTGTCTGAATCCTTATCAAGAAACGGACTCTCAAGAAATGATGCATTTAAAAAAAATACAAAAATTTAATTGTACTTTTTATAATAAGGAAGGCCATAGTAGATCCGCAAGAATAGGTTTTTGATTTTGTCACGACAAATGTTTCACGGTTTCAGCATTAAAAAAGAAACGTTGTCGTAAATCGAACGCACCCATAACAAGGTTTCTGCCGGCATTTACTTGCGTTAGCCAACATGGACTTTCTTTGGTAATGTACTGTAAAATGATAATTATATTTTCTATATATGTGTTGTATATTCACACTATTTCTATTTTGCGCATGCTGTTCATGAGACAAGTCTTGTGTTATCTTCTTTTTCTTCCAGTAATCTTCAGTATAAAATGAAACAGACACAGATATACTCATATAGGGGCCTCGAGCTCCTACACAGGAGGGTCCAACGTACCTGCATGTAAAAAATCCCCGTGTATTGTCGAAAGAGTAGGCGCGTTAACGCCGACACAGAGGATAGGGATAGATTAGATTACATTTATTTTCGACGTACTTCCAAAATATAGGAACAAAACACGTAATAGAGTAGGATATAAGTAAAGGACAGCCTAGCTGGATACGGTACGCCCTCCTCCTAGACCAACGCCATGATATGATACGATCGGTGATTTCCCCATCTTTTTATACAATAAAAGTTCCAAGAAGACACATATATTATAAGCCCAACAACTTATAGACCCCATAAGACCATCTACTAACAACCATTTTTTATTTTATTTTTTATTTTCTTAAATAGACATACACCAAAGAATTAAGGGTAAATATCTGCGTTCACCATAGGAACCCCTCGGATAATCTCAAACTCCGGCCAAGCCTGACAAGGCAACAAAGTACTGTACCTAACGGAAGCAGAGACGTTTCTCTACTGTCCAATCTAATTAAAATTATATCTTCACATCGCTCCCGTTTACAGATATGTCACGTTCACATATCTGTAAACGGGAGCGATGTGAAGATTAATTAAAAATCTTAATCAATTAATTAATGTGATTAATTAGCAGGCTAGGGGCCTGCTAATTAATCACAGTATATATGATGGACTTGTGCCGATGTGTACGAAGTGTTATTGGGCTCTGGTAAGGGTTTTGATCAACACTCGCTTAAATGGCACTTTAGAGATGGTGGCATTTTTACTGTCAGAGTACGGTCATCTCACTCATCTGTATATCCAAGGGTCAAATAATTACCGCCATCAAGCAAAATGAAGCAAATCTGTTAGGTTTGTTGTTGGTCTTGTGCATGATGACATTTTTGCACTTGAATCTCCACTTAACAGCATTATTAGGTTTAGTCAACACAGACCAGGCCAGACCTGCTGTATGTTTCAAAGCATTGGAAGTGTACAAGGGACATAACTCCTACAATTCTAGACAGGCAAATTGAAAAGACAATGGCAGATAGCATTTTTTAAAGAAAGCTAGCCTTTAAATGGGTGAGTGACTTTTGTAGCCATTTTAAAGATGTAGGGTACATACCTTTAGATTATAGTCTTTTCCCCCTTTTCCGAACAAGCTTTGTTGGTGGGGGCTTCCCAATCACTGGCTTGCTCGGACCTCTCTCTCGGACTCTCCTCGAACTAAATTCTCCTTCTCTTAACTTTAACTAGGTGATTATTTATTAATTATTATGTAATATATATAGCCTGTCATTTGTGCTGCATAAACCCAACTTCGTGACAAAATCTTCAATTAGTTGAAGGTGGTCACTATATGGTAGAACTAGAACTAGAACTATTCTGTGTTGATACTAACGTAATACTCCCATAATTTTGTTGCGGCAACTGCACTCATATTTATGAGATCTGCCACAGTAAATGAAAGAAGAAGAAGAATATATATACATGTACAGTACATGAATACTGCATGAGACAGAATGTTAACATAATGTTAAATATTTTCTATCAATGGGTTCCTATAGCTGCTTCTTTAAAAGTACCTGAGCACAAGAGCATGGCACTAGTCTGAATATAATATGAATGATCTTTATTTTCATAAATTCCAAGCAATCATACATCCTTGACCCAATAATTAGGACACACTTGAATAACTCCATGTAGCTTTAATAAGTGAGTAATTGTATCTCTGATATGCTGTAAAATAATTTGTACAAGTGTATCAGTGATGCCATGTACACTAGTTTGTACAGCTAAATCTTTGATTTGTTGTACAATATTATTTCTACAGTTATATCTGTGATGTTTTGTACAGTTATATGTATAGCTATAAATCTGTGATTTCTTCAAATATATCAGTGTTTTAATTTGTGTACAAATATTTGTACAGGTATGTCTGATTTGTTGTACAATTATTTGTATAGGTATGTCTGTGATTTGTTGTGCAATAATTTGTACATTTGTGTCTGTGATTTGTTCTGCAATAATTTGTACATGTGTGTCTGTGATTTGTTGTGCAATAATTTGTACATGTGTGTCTGTGATTTGTTGTACAATTATTTGTACAGGTGTTCTGATATTTGTTGTACAATTATTTGTACAGGTATTTATGTGCTGCTCCAGTGACATTTTTCTTCGGGATATTCGTTGTACTTCCTGTTTTTGTGATTATCAACCCAAGACTCCAGACCAGCATTGTATTCCTTCAGTTTGGTAAGTAGCACACACTCTGGATTTTTTAATCTGTATAAAATCTTCTGGTTTTTTTTTGCATTTTGTTTTACCATACATCAGTTATGAGCTGGCCAGAAAAAGTGATATTTACTGTAAACATGTCCAACTGTATGAATATTTCACTGTTTTATGAGAAGTTCTTTTTTTTACACAACCAATAAAATTTTCTATATGACGTTTCGATAACTAGTACGGTATGTACACTGTCACCTTCTTCAGACAAATGACCAGTGAAGCGTATACACACAAAGGTGTAAAATGTGTACAAGTTGTCCATAAAATCGATGTCGATTTTGGCTACGCTGGAAATGTATGTACAATAGTTGATATATGTACCGAAATGACTCAATTCAGCTACGCTTTGTTAGCACTTGGTCATAGATAAATGGTTAACAAAGCGTAGCTGAATTAAGTCATTTCGGTACATATATAACAACTATTGTACACCTGTACGTAATAGTCATCGAAACGTCACATAGAAATTTTTATTGGTTTTGTAAAAAAACAACTTCTCATAATCCATACTTACCAACCTGAAGAAAATGTTTAGACATATTTCACTGTTTGTTGTAGTAAAAGCACCATTTGTGGATTATTCCAAACCAAAGAAGCTGGGTAACAAAAATCTAAAAAGTGGAAGATGTTTCCATTTAAATGTGGCAAAAGATGTGAAGATAGGTGTATGGTATGTATTTTGTTGTTGTATGCAGTAATACAGATTCCTTTTTGTTGACTTCCCTATAAGTTCACCTTGCCTGAGGGCTCCAGTGATCTCTTGCCATCTGTCTTCATTACTTCTCATTTGTCATCCATTACCTATTGACTTGAAATCATAAAGTCTAGTGTTATGGTATTTGACCTGAGTAGCTGATAAAGAGGTCTTTCAAAGATATTCAAATAATTGACCTTGATCTTCATTGTGAGTCACAGGGGTGAAATATATAAGAATATTTAAATAACTTCTTCCCAAATTTCAAAAGGTTAAGCTTTAAGGGTCATTGTATTTTACCAGTAAGTAAATAGGATGAAGGGCTATCAAAGGCGTGTAAATAAATGACCTTGACCTTCATTCAGTGTCACAGAGGTCAAATGATTACAGTTAAAATCTTTAAATCACTTCTTCTTAGGTTCAAGAAGGCCTAGGATCTTGAAATAATACCAGTAGTTAGCTTGGAACAAAAATTATCTCAGTAAGTTTACATAAATAACCTTAACCATCATTCAAGGTTAAAGTGGTCAAATACATAGTAAATGTTAAAATATTGACATGACTTCTTTTGAAGTTTCAGAAGGCAGAGGGTTATGATATTTGACTGATAGGTAGTAAGGATATAGAAAATCAAATAGATAATATATACTTAGTGTATTTAGTAACACTGTTTTGTATTTTTCAGTAGATAGCACTGTAGAATGTATTTAGATTGCCCAGTACCCGTAGAACACATTTCTACAGTTGTATCTTAAAACTTATCACTAGATTGCCCTGTAGATATCTGTTTTGTATCTTTAGCTTGTAATTGTTCTGTACAGGGTATAATCAAGGTGTATGGACCAGTCTGATATGTACAGGGTATAACCGAGGTGTATGATATGTACAGGGTATAATCAAGATGAATGGAACAGTCTGATATGTACAGGGGATAATTGAGGTGTGTGGAACAATCTGATATGTACAGGGTATAATCAAGTTGTATGGGCCAGTCTGATATGTACAGGGTATAATTGAGGTGTGTGGAAAAGTCTGATATGTACAGGGTATAATCAAAGTGTATGGGACAGTCTGATATGTACAGCGTATAATCAAGGTGTATGGGACAGTCTGTGTGGAACAGTCTGATATGTACAGGGGATAATTGAGGTGTGTGGAACAGTCTGAGATGTACAGGGTATAATCAAGGTGTATGGGACAGTCTGTGTGGAACAGTCTGATATGTACAGGGTATAATCAAGATGTATGGAACAGTCTGATATGTACAGGGTATAATCAAAGTGTATGGGACAGTCTGATATGTACAGGGTATAATCAAGGTGTATGGAACAGTCTGATATGTACAGGGGATAATTGAGGTGTGTGGAACAATCTGATATGTACAGGGTATAATCAAGGTGTCTGGGGCAGTCTGCTCTGTACAGGGTATAATCGAGGAGTATGGGACAGTCTGCTCTGTACAGGGTATAATCAAGGTGTATGGAACAGTCTGATATGTACAGGGTATAATTGAGGTGTGTGTAACAATCTGATATGTACAGGGTATAATCAAGGTGTCTGGGGCAGTCTGCTCTGTACAGGGTATAATCAAGGTGTATGGGACAGTCTGATATGTACAGGGTATAATCGAGGCGTAAGGGACAGTCTGATA